GCCAGAGCTATTAAGCAAGAAAAAGAAATTAAAGGGATACAAATTGGGAAGGAAGAACTCAAACTATCCCTCTTTGCAGATGACATGATTCTTTATTTAGGGGACCCAAAGAACTCTACTAAGAGACTATTGGAACTCATAGAAGATTTTGGCAAAGTAGCAGGGTATAAAATCAATGCACAAAAATCAACAGCCTTTGTATACACAGACAATGCCATGGCTGAGCAAGAACTGCTAAGATCAATCCCATTCACAATAGCTACAAAAACAATCAAATACCTTGGAATAAACTTAACCAAGGACGTTAAAGATCTCTACGATGAAAATTACAAAACCTTAAAGAAAGAAATAGAAGAGGATACCAAGAAATGGAAAAAACTTCCATGCTCATGGATTGGAAGAATCAATATCATCAAAATGTCCATTCTCCCAAAAGCAATTTATAAATTCAATGCAATACCAATCAAGATACCGAAGACCTTCTTCTCAGATCTGGAAAAATTGGTGCTGAAATTTATATGGAGGCACAAGAGACATCGAATAGCTAAAGCAATCTTGTACAACAAAAACAAAGCTGGAGGCATCACAATACCAGATTTCAGGACATACTACAGGGCAATTGTTATCAAAACAGCATGGTACTGGTACAGAAAGAGATGGATAGACCAATGGAACAGAATTGAAACACCAGAAATCAACCCAAACATCTACAGCCAACTTATATTTGATCAAGGATCTAAAACCAATTCCTGGGGCAAGGACAGTTTATTCAATAAATGGTGCTGGGAAAACTGGATTTCCACGTGCAGAAGCATGAAGCAAGACCCCTACCTTACACCTTACACAAAAATCCACTCAACATGGATTAAAGACCTAAATCTACGACCTGACACCATCAAGTTACTAGAGAACATTGGAGAAACCCTTCAAGATATTGGCACAGGCAAAGAGTTTCTGGAAAAGACCCAGGAGGCACAGGCAGTCAAAGCCAAGATCAACTATTGGGATTGCATCAAATTGAGAAGTTTCTGTACTGCAAAAGAAACAGTCAGGAGAGTGAAGAGACAACCGACAGAATGGGAAAAAAATATTTGCAAACTATGCAACAGATAAAGGGTTAATAACCAGAATCTACAAAGAGATCAAGAAACTCCACAAAAACAAAACCAACAACCCACTTAAGAGATGGGCCAAGGACCTCAATAGACGTTTTTCAAAAGAGGAAATCCAAATGGCCAACAGGCACATGAAAAAATGTTCAAGGTCATTAGCAATCAGGGAAATGCAAATCAAAACCACAGTGAGTTTTCACCTCACCCCAGTTAGAATGGCTCACATTCAGAAATCTACCAACAACAGATGCTGGCGAGGATGTGGGGAAAAAGGGACACTAACCCACTGTTGGTGGGGATGCAAACTGGTCAAGCCACTATGGACGTCAGTCTGGAGATTCCTCAGAAACCTGAAGATAACCCTACCATTCAACCCAGCCATCCCACTCCTTGGAATTTACCCAAAGGAATTTAAATTGGCAAACAAAAAAGCGGTCTGCACCCTAATGTTTATTGCAGCTCAATTCACAATAGCTAAGACCTGGAACCAACCTAAATGCCCATCAACGGTAGACTGGATAAAGAAATTATGGGACATGTACTCTTTAGAATACTATACCGCAGTAAGAAACAACGACATCCAGTCATTTGCAACAAAATGGAGGAATCTGGAACACATCATGCTGAGTGAAATAAGTCAATCCCAAAGGGACAATTACCATATGTTCTCCCTGATCGGTGACAACTGACTGAACACCAAAAAGGAAACCTGAAGTGAAATGGACACTATGGGAAACGGTGACTTGATCAGCATAGCCCTGACTGTTAATGAACAACTTAATACATTATCCCTCTTAGTAGTTTTTTGTCTGTTCTACTTAATATGGCTGGTTTAATTCTGTAATTAATACACAGTTATTCTTAAGTGTTAAAAATTAACTGAAATGTGATCCCTGTTAAACATAAGAGTGGGAATAAGAGAGGGAAGAGATGTATAATTGGTCAACAACAGGAGTCACTGTGCACTTACTCCTCATGTAGGATCTCTGTCCTTAATGTGCTGTGTATTGAGATTTAATGCTATAACGAGTACCCAAACAATATATTTCGCTTTGTGTTTCTATGGGGGTGCAAACTGTTGAAATCTTTACTTAATGTATACTAAACTGATCCTCTGTAAAAAAAAAAAAAAGAAATTATCAATTCCCAACTTGACTCTCACTGGGATTAAACATGACAATAGGTCTGATCTGATTTCATCATCATTTAAAAAATATCATCTATTATTTTTCACTTTATGTTTCTGTGTGGGAGCAAACTGTTGAAATCCTTACTTAATGTATACTAAGCTGATCTTCTGTATATTAAGATAATCGAAAATGAATCTTGATGTGAATGGAAGGGGAGAGGGAGTGGGAAAGGGGAGGGTAGTGGGTGGGAGGGACGGTATGTGGGGGAAGCCATTGTAATCCATAAATCGTACTTTGGAAATTTATATTCATTAAATAAAAGTTAAAAAAAAATCTATTGGTATGGTCCAAGCTTTCTGGATTTATGTATAGCCAATCATTTTGGGGAGGGGGGACACAAATCACGTCTCAGTATGTTTTTTTAAAAATTAAAATCATATCAAGTATCTCCTCAGATAACAAAGGAATAAAACTGGAAATCAATAAGAATAATACAAAATTTGTAAATACATTGACCAATGGATCACTGAAGAAATTACAAATAAATGAGGCCTGAGTTGTCATGCAGTAGATTAAACCACTGCATGCAACACTGGCTTCCCATATAGACTCCTATTCTAGTCCCTACTGCTCCACTTCTTTTATTAAAAAAATTTATTTAAGGTATACAAATTTCATGTATTTATTATATACAGATTCAGGAACACATTGGTTCTTCCCATGCTATTCTCCCTCCCATTTACGCTCCCATCATTTTTCTTCCTCCCTCTCCTATTCCCATTCTTCATTTTTACAAAGATCTATTTTTAGTTTACTTTATACTCATAAGATTAACCCTATACTAAATAAAGAGTTCAACAAATAGTATGAAAAAAAAAAAAAACCACTGTTGCTCAACAGTTGAGACAAAGGCTGTTAAAAATCACCGAGTCTCAAAATGTCAATTTATCTGCGCCTTACACACAGACCCATTGTGTCTCTGCTGATGTGCCTGGAAAGCGAGTGGGTGATGGGCCAAGGGCCTGGACCCATGTCACTCATGTGGGAGCCCTGGGTAGAGTTATTGGTTCCTAGCTTCAGTCTGGCTCTACCTTGGCTATTGTGACAATTTGGGGAGTGACTCAGTGTTTGGAAGATTACATCTGTGTACTTATTTCTCTCTCTCTGGTATTCTGCCTTCAAGTAAATAAATAAATGAATATTAAACAACAAAGACTTTTGGCATAAAGTTTTACTATAGTTTATTACAATAACTTGTAGAATATTTTCTTACACATCAAGTGAAAAATTTAAACACTAGTAATGATTGCTTATATTCTAGTAATCAGTAGCATACTACAGAATTATAAGTGAAAATATCAAGAATACATGTGAAATACACATGAAAATTATGTGAAATCTATGCAGTTATCTCCATCTCAGCAATACATAAGAAGATAATATCTGGGACAACCATATTTGCAACATTCTTCAGGCAGACTCTCAGAGAACTGTCTCTTTTTTCGGGAGAAAGTATTCGATTCTGAAGCCCTGCTACCTTGCACTCCTCTTTGTATATTCTGAATAATTTTCTTAAATTCTTCAAAACTAACATTTGACTTCTTCAATGTAGGTAGGTATTGTAGATACAGCTTTGATGGCTGCTTCTCAAATAGTGTTGCCGTCAGCTCCTGTGGCAAGTTAGGAATGGATTCCAACATAGTATTTGCATTTTCTGCATCTTTCTTGATGGACGATGGCACAGTTTCTATTAAGTTAAAGAAATCGGGGGTAGGAAGAAAAATATGAATGTCAAGGAGTATCAGACAGATTGCATGTGCCTATGTAGAGAAATGGAAAGCACTGTCTCAATCTAATTGAATATTGAAACAAACAATCAGCAAGTGTCTTAATATCTGAACCATTTATTATACTTATAGATTGAAGTACTACAATCCTAGCATTCTTCTGCTTTACTCCACTTGGCTTCTGTAATCTCTCTCATCCCTTCCTTGCTTTCAATATAGTACTTTTCACTGTCTGACATAGATCTGTCAACTTTCTGAAGTTATGTTGATCATCAGAAACACTCAGTTTAACCATAACTGGATTTTTTTTCAACCTGAGTAATTTTATTGCATTGCTAGGCAACTTCTTAATTCTGAGAGTAACCTTTGAAAAGAAAATTGCTTATTTAAGTTTTCAAATCATGGTGGCAAGAATTTCTTTTTTATATGTAAAGTTCTCTTTATTTATTTGGAAGCCAGAGTTACGGGGCGGGGTGGGGGGTGGTGCACAGAGAGATCTTCCATCCACTGGTTCATTTCCCAAATGACTACAATGGCCAGGTCTGACCCAGGCCAAAGTCAAGAGCCAGGAACCTCATCTGGGTCTCCTATGGGGGTGCAGAGGCCCAAGCCCTTAGGCCATCTTCAGCTTCTTTCCCAGCTGTGTTAGCATAGAGCTAGATTGGAAGTGGAGCAGCTGAGACTCAAACTGGTGCCCATGTGGGATGCCAGCATTGCAAGTGGTAGCTTTACCGGCTATGCCAGAATGCTGACCCCAAGGTAGAATTTCTAAAAGCTCTGATAGAATCAACAGGGGATATAAGTCTCTGACAGCCCTCAAATATATATGTAACAATTTCTCTCCCCAGAGTGTTTACTGAAAATCGATTTCAGTTTATATTAGAGAAATGGGTTAAATGAACACCAATCAATAGTCATAGACTTCCAGAAGAGATTAGCATTGGCTGTCACGTGTGTGTACTAATGTACTCTGTATGGTGTTTGTTCCAGTGTTGTGGATCATGCAATATGCTGGCCAGATGCAAACTTTGAAACTTGGGCTGGGATCGTGGTGCAACTAGCTAACATCTTCCTTCTTCTTTATACCCATTCATTTTAGTAAAAGGTTCATGGACTGTTTCCATGTTGCTGGTACTGCCAGGGAGAAAACATCTCCTGCTTCAAAATCTTTCTGTTGTATCAATCTCCTAACCTTACCTATCTCAATTATTTAATTTGACAGTTTTAGCCCAAGGAAATGAGAAATTCTGGTAAAGCTAAAATAGTAGTTAACAAACCTGAATCAGAGCATGCTGCTCTTCTTCATGGACAGCAAAACTGTCCTTCAGCTTGTTCAATAAGGTGTTAATTTTGAAATAATGGAAGCAAAGAAGCCAGGAGACGTAAATCTAAGTGTAAATACCCAATTGCTGCTGATCAGAGAAAACCAGGCTCCTTTATCTAGGCAGAATTGTCGAAGGATAGAAGTACTCACCTGCAGCTGGTCCAGAACTCAGAAAGAGGTTTTCTGGACTCAGAGACTCTCTTGCCAAGTGGACATGGCCACAGACTTCAATCGCGGTTCTGACAAAATCATTACGGCATATCTTAACATTCTCCATCATCCATTCATACGTGACTCTTCCGGTAACTTGGCCCTGGAGGAGACAGAATCCTAGAAGGTAGAACAAAAGGGCAGGCATCCTCGGCTGGTCTCTTCTGCTCCGGGTTTCTCTGCTGTCTTTGGCAGCCGCCTGTGCTTTCGCCGACTGAAGTGGGCCTGGGTGCTTGCCCTGGGCTCCAGGATGCTGCTTCTACCTGACTCCACCAGGCTTTTATATCCCCTGGGCTACCACTGAGTTCTTGCGTCACTGGTCCCAGCTCCACCTCTTACCCCACCCACCTCCACAGAATTTTCTCCCTAGGCTCAGATTCACCCTCTCCACCTTTCCTCTATTTCCCCATTCTTCTGTCCTTGCCCTTTTTGTGTTTTCTCTCTTTTCTCACCCTCAAACTATTTTGTATACCTGCGTCAGTCATCCTATGTTTGGAGACATTCCTTTATCTTAGAACAAGGTGTGGCCATTACACTAAATTACATCAACAGAACTAAAACTGACATCACCTTCTAATAACTTGGAATTTTCCAGTGTGAACATCTACCACATAACCTTCTAACTCAAGTAAGATTGTAGTTAGATTAATTATCATAATGTCTGTTAGGTCAGTCCTTAAAAGTGTATTGGGTCAATGGGTAAATTGTTGACAAGAGAAAGAAAATCGATGATGTATACTCTGACTCTTGGTAAATTATTAACATTTCCAGTAGCATCATTTTAGGTTTGCACAGTAATGTCTAAAATTTATAATTTACTTTCCTCATTGAAATTTCCTCCTACTCCTCTGGGAGATAATTTGGTTATAGTCAGTTATCTGAGTATTTTAATTTGAAATTATATTTTTTATCACCAGAGACCAGAGAGAAAAGGAGAGAGAGTGAGAGAACAAAAAAGGAAAGAAAGAGACGTGAAATCCCACAATCCTAGAAAGAATAGTTTTAATAATATGTTATAACACAAAATTATATATCATTTATTCTTCTGCTTCTTTTTTAAAAGGAATTTATTAATACATTAGATACTCAGGGCCACAGCAAATGCATGCTAATTACTACAACAATTTTCAAAATTTGGTAAAAAGTGGTTTTAACACCATTTAATTAAACTTCTAGAAACTTCAACACCATTTGAGATAACATGCTCACTAAACAATACTTCTAGTCATACAGTAAATGTTTCAGTGCAATAGGTTTGTTGTAGGCATGGAGGGCAAGTTTTTCAAAGCCTCATACAATGAGTTGAATGCAACTCACAGAGGTAGCAAGCGTAGGCAACAAAGATGTACTATATCAAGCAAAATATATTCCACAAAGAGAATGGAAGCATCCTCTGAGAAGAGTTCAGGGCTATAAAGCCAAAAAACTGTAGGAGCCTGCCTGTGGGAAGAATTTGGAGCCCGAATTTAATTTGGATTCTTAATTTATAGCCAATTTAGAAAGGGAGGAGGGTCACTGTCAGGTAACTTGTGGCAGAAGATGGGGGTGGAGAGATGTTGTCAGGGAGGCCCAAGCTGAAAGTTTTCTGATACAATGCCTCATGTCTTTTTCAAGATGAGCTTCAGCTGCTCTCTCCTTGGATGTGGCTGGACTGGTCTTTATCTCCTGCATGCAGGCAGGTAGTCTGTAAGCTAGCTACTTTTCAAGCTGGTATCTTTAGCAAGTAAAACAAACCATTTCAGTTCAAGCAACTAAAGCAGCTTTAGCTTTTTCTGACTCTTTCTGAATTTTCCTTTTTCTTGCTGTTTCTCCCAGACCCCAGCTGCCTCCTGCGTCAGCTTCATTTCTAAAATCATGTATTTGCTTGTGTTCATCATCTACTCAGATATCTTCAGCTTTACCAGGTAAATTGGAGAATAGGAGAAGTTAGGGTAGCTTTGAAATAAAGCGATAACAACCTCATAGTTAGTAATGCAGCTGTGGAATAGAATAATTCTAATTTCTAGATTGCTGCTAATTGTTAACAGGATCAAGTCAGCATTGGCCAAATGGTAAGCATTGTGTAATTCTTCAAAAAGCATCTGACCGCAGCCAGAGGCGATGCTTTTAAATGGGTTTTCACTAAGACAAGCAGTTTGATAGAGGCTTATCACAACTGAGGTTTAAAGGTATTCTTGTGGGTACATAGTCCTCTTAAAAATAACTCATTTGTGCGGCTGTCCTCCAAATTGTTCATTGAGAAATGTAAATTTTCAAGGACAATTCATTTTTGTACTTGGCCTAGTAGGTGGCTTTATACAGTTCTCACAACTAAACAGTGAATTGGCTACTTTCCCATCCTACAGAGAGTGGTCACCTGAAAAAGAGCAGTTTCATGTCTTACAAAAGCATTTCTCTTAGAACTGCTAGCCAGTCCTGACTGGATGCAGTGGAGGCCAAGAGGTGGAACAGGTAGAAGGCCATGAACAAAGGAATTCAGTAGAAGCTATAGAACTTCAGAGGCCACCTGCCACTTGGAACAAGCCAAGAAGATTGCTCGAAGAAATGGAAATTCCAAAAAGAAGAGCAATAGCAATGGCAAGAAAGATAAGCTCATTTAAAGAGGGTCCCAGGCAAGTTTCAGTCCTTCCCACTGATTACATAGTTCCCACAGACTCTTCTGAAATCCTGCCCCACAGTCAGAGCTCGGTTCTTGAACTCCTTTTCCATAGGTACCACCACCATATTTGGCACCAGTAATATAGCATTAAACATCACTGCCTTAGCCCAGCCATCAAAACTCATTCACTGCCAACCAGCAAATGGCCATGCCTCTGTCCTCATGCATGCATCAAGCCTCCTCAGCTGTTCACTGAGAGCCAAGGGTCCCTAGTCCAGATGAACTGTTTCTTTACTTTGACTATCTAGTAACTACACAAGGAGAAATATGTTAGTTTCATGGAATTGCTTGTATATGAATCAACAATCCTGGCCAAGTGCAGCAGCACCTCAATTGGATACAAACTGATATTAAAGTATTTCATAATGTTGTTCAGATACTAAATAGCATGCCAATCGTGCTAGAAATGACAGAACTTTTCTCTTGCCTGTTCCCAACCAAATGGAGCCTACAGCTCTACACAGGCTTCGAAACTCTAGCTGTAGCCATTGTGGTCCTCTGCTGCGTGTCATGTACCTACTGCTCTTCCCACAGAGATTGTTCTATTCCTTCTCTCTGGTAGTATCTGTCCCTCCCGGGGTCTTACTTTACATCAAAGCACCAAGAGGTGAATTGTGGTATAAGCCCTAAAATTAATGCCAGATTTTCTGTGCTGTCTTGATGTCTGCTGCCAGGGACCACCTGGGCAACATCGTGGCTATCTCTTGAGGACCGAGGCAGCAGCATCGTGCCTGCCTTCCTTTGAAGGCTGAGGATGCTGGGAGCAGTCCTCTATGCATTGGCTCATGGGAAGGCTCACACCACAAAGACCTTGGAAGTGTCTTGCCTGCATTCCTCGGAAGGTCAAGGATGCAGAGAACAGTCTTCTCATGCCTTAGCTCATGGGGAGGCTCACGCCACAGAGCCTTGAACATGGTGTTCCAAGAAATAGACAAGGATCTTTTATCTTTTATCGCATGGGACATTTCTCCTTCTCCTCCCTTGTGAGAGATAGCTTCATGCATACCGCTACATAGGTGAAATGGCCTGTGCCGATGTGGACAAATATCCACTTGATGACACAGTGAGACAGTGTTATCTGGAGGAAAGAAAAGCCACTGGGAAAGGCAGAGATGTTCCTCCTCTGCTCACAGAGAGATTCCTTCTGTCCCCCCATTCTTTAAATAATCTTTGTTTTTATTCATTGCACACCATACCGTCTTCACCCTGCAAAAGCTGCTGCACAGATCACCAGCAGTCTGGTCAAATTGAGACAACTTCAAATGGCCTGGGCATATGTCCCCTCTCCACTCTGTTCTGCAGAGAAGGTCCTCCAGCCAAATAACATTTCTTGTCAATAGAAGCGTGCACAGTTCCTATTTATCCTTAAGTAGAGAAATCTAGTTCTCTGCAAGCCCGCAAAAACCTGCAAAGAAGCCAATCACGTCTTATGCTAACCAGGAGTCACCCCAGCTTCTTGATACTCTAAAGCCTGCCTGACACAGCCCTTGCTTCTTCAGTCTGTTCCCAGTGGCAGCTTCCATGATACCTTGCGTGGCATACAGTGCTCTCTTCTTCTATACTCTGAGTATATTTGATTAATAAGTTGTTGTCAGCGTCATCTGTCCAGTGTCAATTGTTCCATGTTTGTGGTCTGCACAGCCACAGCCTAAAGCAGGAACCGCTTCCTCTCTAATAAAACGAATAGGAGGTAATTAAAACAGCCATGGCTATAACGTGTCTCCTCCTCCTCTTTGTTCCTAGAAGAAATGGATGCTGCTCAAGCTGCACAGTGTATTTTGTGACTCCCAGGATTTGCTCCCTATCCCTTCTCATTACCCATTGTTGATCAAAAAATTTCTCTCTGAAGGACAAATCATTATCCCTCTGTAATCCCTTCAGCACCTTCCCGTTAACCCCAAGATGTAGTCTA